TTAATAGTGTCATTCTTGAAGCAAGGGTAAAGCCTCTAATCACTATGTTAGAAGACATCAGAACATACATGATGGAGAGATGGGCAAATACCAAAATGAGATTTGGTACTTTGGATGAGAATGATATTTTGCCTAATATTAGAAAGAAACTTGATGTCACAAGCACATACACCAACAACTGGCTAGTAAGGTATGTAATATCAGCATACGTTAATTCTTTAGGATGTCTATGACATACATGTGACTAATGTATTTTGTTTGTTTAATCATTTAGGATGTCTGATGAACATATATTTGAAGTAAGGCACCTAGAAAATCAAGCTGATAAGTTTGTAGTGAACCTGAAAGATCAGATATGTTCATGCATAAGATGGGAGCTCACAGGACTCCCATGTGTTCATACTCATTCTGCTATGAAGAGTAGGAATTTCAAAATTGATACTTACATTCCAGATTATTATAGGGTTTCAAGGTACAAGGCAGTTTATAAGCATGTGATCTACCATGTTAATTGAGCAAACTTGTGGGTTAAGACACCATATCCAGATGTGCAACCACCCAAGTTCATGAAGATGCCTGGTAGACCTAAAAAGAGGAGGAACCTAGAATAAGGTGAAATTGATGGGTATGCTCGCAAATTGGGAAGAACATATTTTATGGTGAAATGTAGTAGGTGTAAGAAAGCAGGACATTACAAGTCTACATGTAAGGACACAACAACTCATACTACTCAACAATCAGCCTAACCCTCTCATACTCCAACTCAGACTGCTCAACAACCAAGCCAACACACTCCTACTTCAACAACTCAGCCTACTCAACAACCAAGCCAACACACTCCTACTTCAACAACTCAGCCTACTCAGTAACCAAGCCAACCCTCTCAGAGCAAAGCAACACAAACTGCTAAGAGAACTTCTACTCAACAATCTATCCAAACATCTCAAACTTCTAAGGGAAAGGCTGCTCAAAAGACACATGGACCTGCTAAGGGCAAGACACACAAGCTGCCTGTAAGGAAGCCAACAAGACCTTTTGTGCCACTTGGGCCTACAACTAGGTTGAGTGCTGCCAAGAATGTTGTTGGCCCAGTAACAAGGAGGTCTACTCCAACAAAGAGGATCACGCCAAAGAAGAAACTCTAGTTGTGGAACATGTGTATCAGTTGTGTTAAAAGCATAACCTATTTTGTGAAACATGTGTGGAATGTATTACAAGTTTATGTATTCTGTTGTTGTTGTGGAACATCTGTATCAGTTCTGTTAAAAGCATAACCTAACTGTCATGAACAAGTTTATGTATTCTATTGTTGTTGTGGAACATGTGTATCGGTTGTGGAACAAGTCTATTTTGTGGAATGTATTACAAGTTTATGTATCCTGCTGCTGTTGTTGTTTATGTATCCTGCTGTCATGAACTTTATGTTAAAAGCAGAACCTGTCATGAACTTTATGTATTATGAAATGGACCTGTCATGAACTTTATATTACTACGATCATGTCTAATGTGGTGTAAAAATGCAGACAAAATTAACAGACCAACTTTGACAGGTCTATGACAGACCAAGTAAACATAAAACATAACATACCAAATATATCATTGACAGACCAAATTAACATAATCTTTAACTGTTGGTTATGCTTTGGCAGACCAAATTAAAAATACTTTGACATGATATTTGTCAATGCATACCAAGTTAACATTATCTTTAACTGTTATATTCATGTGGAACTAATACAATCCAAAACTAAAACTGATACATTCGTGTTGAACTGCAAAAAGTGAAATTAACTAAACTGATACAGGATTAGAATCCATATATTAGAATCCAACTATTACATTCATGTTGAAGTGATACAATCCAAAACTGATACAAACTTTAACTGAACTTAAACCTAATTCTTACAACCAAAACTTAACTCAATTCTTACAAACAAACCATAACATACTACTTCCAAACAAACCTTAATACCCTAACTACTCCTAACAACTAATACAGTGATAATCATCACAAACATCAAATTCAAAATCTTTTTCCATTTCATGATATTCTTCATTTCACTTTCAAGTTTCATAAGCTTTTCCCCTAATTCTTCATTCTCCATTGTCACTTTTTCAATGTCCTTTTTTGCTTCAGCGAGTCCTTTAGTTACCACACCCAACCTATGCATCCTTCTCATCACCCATCTCCTTATAAAACCAACCAAAGAAACCACAATCAGCTTGCATACCTCCCTGTAAGTTTCATTGTTTAGAGGATGATGGATAATGAATTTAAACTTAAAAAGAAATATAACTTATAATTTGGACAAAAACAGAAACAGAAACAGAAACATAACTTAAACAAAAACAGAACTTCAACAAAGAACAAAACCAGCTTGCGTATCTTATAATTTGGACAACCCCAAAAAACTTTTCTCATATTCTTAACAGTAGTTGCCCTTTGAAGAACAACCATGTCTCCACAATGGCATATGGGATTCCATCGTGACCTACTACAAACATCTGAATCTCGACTTTCCGATTTCAACATGGAGGAGGAACAACCGGATTTCATGCTTGCCAAATAAAAAAACCCTATATTAATTTAGGGATTTGGGATTGGGGTTTGGGATTTGGGATTGGGATTGGGAAATCACAGTCGCACAATGTGAACGGAAAGAGGCAGGAGAAGGAAGCAACATGATGAACACAATTGTCAGGTCATCTGCCAGATATACAAAATAAACGGACGTTTGGGGACAACTGACGATGAGGACTAAATTGACACCATTTTAAAAGTTAAAGGACCAACTTGACACTTTTTAAAGTTAAGGGACCAAACTGGACTCCGAAGTTAAGTTAAGGGACGAAAAATGATATTTTGCCTAAAAAGTAATAATAAAAAAAATGTTTCTTTTTTGTGATTCATAAAGTTTTATATTCCTTCATGATCTGAAATGTGACATAAGTGGAGCTTCATTGTTGGGGCTATTCATAGGGTTAAACAATAACAATATCAACATAAATCTTAACTAATAAGATATGTGTTCCTTTATGCTTTATAAACAATGTAGTATCCACATTATCACGATTAAATCCTTTTTTTAATAAAAAAAAGTCACTAATGCGCTCACACTAAACTGTAGGAGCATGTTTGAGACCATAGAGTGTTCAGTTTTGGTTTAAAAACTAAATCAGATTTTTCATGGTCCTTAAATCTTGGAGGTTGAGATACGTAAACTTCATTTATAAACCTGTTACGGAATGCCAATTTAACACCCATTTGATACAACTTAAATCCAGGCAGGCGACAAACGTCATAAGAAGTCAAATTGTCTGAAGACGAGCTACATGAGCAACATGAGCATATGTCTCATCATTGTCGATTCCTTAAGTTTGATTGTATCATTTTCACCACCATTCCTTAAGTTTGATTGTATCATTTTCACCACCATTCCTTAAGTTTGATTGTATCATTTTCACCACCATTGTAGCTTTATTTCTACTAATTATGCAGTTTTCGTCCATTTTGTTCCTAGACGCCTATCTAGTGCCTATTTAATTTTGTTTATAAGATGCGTGACAAGATCCTAAACACCGTTACATTTAAATTGAATGAGCTCATCTTACATAATAAGAAGTCATCCTTAAGCATCAAATATCATTAAGTTCCAATTGAAAAATAGAAATAAAATAATTACATAAATTATTAACATGAGATATAATATTTACGTTTCTTTTGATATCTCTAAGTATGTAATCTAACGCGTAGAATATAACTTATCTTCTTTTAAGATTGAAAGAATCACATCTTCATTGTCTGGAATCACAAAAATGCATGAGTAGTAAATCCATATTTGTGACCTAAACAAATTGGCTTCAAACTTTAATTTATAATAGTTTTCAAATAGTAATTAAGCAAGTTTATAAAAAAAAAGAAGCCAAACTTTAATAAAGATTTTATTTCTCTTTGTTCTTACTTATTTTTCATTTTGTTATTGAAAAAAAAATCGTGCAAAAAATATTAAAGAGAAATAATAATATATTTCTTTTATTCATAAAATTTTAAATGATCTGAATTGTGACCTAAATGAAGCTTAATTACTGAAGTTATTCAAAAAGCTAGACACAAAGAATATTTTGTGAGATTGACATCCCACACTCATTTAAAATTTTAAGGTAATAGATATGTGAATTCTCCTACTTGTACTTAAGTCTCACATTTCTAATCAACGTAGGACTTTCCCATACTACTCACACTTATTATTCTCAACAATCTCTCGCAAATATAAGTCTATCTGCAATACCCTTTTCATCCACATACACTTTTTCAATATTCATTATTTCTATCTAATTAGTGTAAGATTTCTCCAACACTACTCACACTCAACACTAAAAATTAAAAAAAAACAAGCTAAAAGAAAGCACAAATCCTTCTTTAAACTCTCAAAGTTCAAGGACAACAAGAATAGCCTCACAAGACAATCGATGTAATTCTAGCAGAGATATCTGGTCTAAATAAAAACCATGTGGTTTGCCCTCTCATTAGAAGTTGTTGATCTTGTGTCAAATAAATTTGAAGTTGTTGACTGACCTTTAGACAAAAATTGAATGCTAATGGATTAGGGCCTACGGATAATTCTTAAGTCATTATAAGAATTCAAATATATCCCTCCATTCTTTATATTTATGATAAAAATTAAAACACTCATATCTAATAGGGATTTAAGTGATATATTGATGATGAGAATTAAGTTACATTCATCTTCATCTCTCGAAATTACACTATTCATAAGTTACTTCATAAGAAAAACAAAATACATTGTTCACAAAAAGCTTAAAAAACATAAAGACCTTATTCATCAAAGACTCAACAAGTCCACTTTACCAAACCTACATTCTATTACATAACATACACAAGATACAAGACAACTTTAAATTTCATAGTAACCCCATAGACCTAACCAAGGTTTTAAAAACAGACATGCCCCTAGGCCCTATCCCTAGCCATGGCTCCTTTAGTCAACCTCTTCAATCTTAGGACCAGGTCCTGATCCATTAGAACCACCACCAGGCATACCATCACCCATAGGCACATCTCCACCAGCACCACCTTGATACATCTTAGCAATAATAGGATTACAAACGCCTTCCAACTCCTTCTGCTTATCCTCAAACTCCTCCACTTCACCCAATTGATTCCCTTCCAACCATTGTATAGCCTCCTCCACAGCCTTCTCAATCTTCTCCCTATCATCATTACTCAACTTCCCACCAATCTTCTCATCCTTAATAGTATTCCTCATATTATAAGCATAATTCTCAAGCGAATTCTTAGCTTCCACTTTCCTCTTCACCTCTTCATCCTCTGCCTTATACTTCTCTGCATCTTTCACCATCTTCTCTATCTCTTCCTTACTCAACCTCCCTTTATCATTTGTTATAGTTATCTTGTTCTTCACTCCAGCTGTTTTATCTTCCGCAGAAACATTCAATATCCCATTCGCATCAATATCAAAACAAACATTAACCTGTGGCACACCTCTTGGAGCTGGTGGAATACCAGTGAGTTCAAATTTCCCAAGAAGATTATTATCCTTTGTTCTAGCACGTTCACCTTCAAAAACTTGAATCAAAACACCAGGTTGATTATCCGAATAAGTAGAAAAAATCTGCTCCTTCTTCGTCGGAATCGTCGTGTTCCTAGGAATCAAAACCGTCATAACACCACCAGCAGTTTCTAGACCCAAGCTAAGAGGAGTAACATCAAGCAACAAAAGATCTTGAACCTTTTCATCGCCTTCACCTGTTAAAATCGCGGCTTGAACAGCAGCACCATAAGCAACAGCTTCATCAGGGTTAATACTCTTGCAAAGCTCTTTTCCATTGAAGAAATCCTGCAAAAGCTGTTGAACTTTCGGAATCCTAGTTGATCCACCAACAAGAACAACCTCATGAACTTGACTCTTATCGATTTTTGCATCTCGAAGACACTTCTCAACCGGCTCCATACATTTCCTAAATAAATCCATATTCAATTCTTCAAATCTCGCCCTTGTAATGGTTGCATAGAAATCAATTCCTTCATACAAAGAATCGATTTCAATCGTTGTTTGCGCGGTCGAAGAAAGCGTCCTCTTCGCTCTCTCACAAGCAGTTCTCAATCTTCTCAATGCTCTTGCATTTCCACTAATATCTTTCTTGTTTTTCCTCCTGAATTCCGAAACAAAATGATTCACCATTCTGTTATCAAAATCTTCACCACCAAGATGAGTATCTCCAGCAGTAGCTTTCACTTCGAAAATCCCTTCTTCAATTGTAAGAAGAGAAACATCGAAAGTTCCACCGCCTAAGTCGAAAATAAGCACGTTCTGTTCACCTTTTCTCGAAGCTTTTTTATCCAAACCATAAGCAATTGCTGCAGCAGTAGGTTCGTTGATTATCCTAAGCACATTCAAACCAGAGATAGCACCGGCGTCCTTCGTGGCTTGTCTTTGAGAATCGTTAAAATAAGCCGGAACAGTAACAACCGCATTTTTCACCGATTGACCTAAAAACGCTTCTGCTACTTCCCTCATTTTGATCAACACCATGGAAGAAATCTCCTCCGCCGCGAATTTCTTCTCTTCGCCTTTATAATTGACAACGATCATCGGTTTTTCAGCGGGACCTGGAACGACTTTAAACGGCCATAGTTTCATATCGTTTTGAACTGATTCATCGGAGAATCTACGGCCGATTAAACGTTTCGCGTCGAAAACGGTGTTTTGCGGATTCATTGCAACTTGATTCTTGGCTGCATCACCGATGAGTCTCTCCGTGTCAGTGAATGCCACGTAGGATGGTGTTGTTCGGTTGCCTTGGTCGTTGGGGATGATCTCGACTCGGTCGTTTTGCCAAACGCCGACGCAACTGTAGGTTGTACCGAGGTCTATGCCAATGGCTTTGCCTTCTTTTGTCGCCATAACAGTTTCTGAAGAGAGTTTGTTTTTGTTTCTGAAGAGACTTTTGTTTTCGTTTCTGAATTGAGTGTTTTTGATGATGAAATGAAGTAGGTGCGACTGATATTTATATTAGTTGTTAGGAGATGTGTAGGAGTTGGGAGGAAGTTCGAGAAATTACGAGGTGAGGAGGGAAAGTGTAAGTGTAAGCTGGAGAATTCTCGAGAGTGTGAGGAGGTTCCAGATAAATGAAACGTAGAATACAGTGAAATAATTTAGAAAGGTTGTTGATGCGGACCGGGTTTGCTGCAGTTACGTGATTCCTGCATTGATAACCTTCTGATCAAAATCTAACGGTTAAGTTCAAAAGAATATATATTTTAAAACTCTATGATATTGGATGACCACAAAAATCATGACCGTGTGATTGCATGGAATCTGTTACTGAAATGATAAATTATTTTAGTGTGATTTATTGTCTCTAATTAAATTTTATTATTGTTATTGCAAAAAATTAGATTTTACTTCTTGCCGAGAAAGAACGAAAAATGTTGAAATGGTTCTTCCATTTGTAATATTTTTTATTTATTTTAAAACTAAATGAAATTTATTGAATTGCTTTTTTAATTAAAATTGATTTAAAATAGTGGTAAATATTTTTTGATTTAAAATGTTTTTAACAAAATGTTAATCATCAAATTCAAATAAAATAAAACGACGTGGATATGTGAATGTTCACTATATAGGTGTGCTTGGGCAATTCGAAAACATGTGGGTGCTAAAACATAATGCATGTAACATTATAACGGTCGGACATGATATTTTTATGAAAAATGATATTTTTACACTTTTTCCTACACCCTACACCTAATTTACTGTTCACAAATACGTGAACAAATTTTTCAGAACATGATTAATAGTATGTATTTTATTGGTTAATGAAGTAGTGAAAATGATTAATAAAGTATAGGTAAAATAATTGGTTAATGATGTAGATTTTTGTGGTTAATGCAATTGTGAAGTTGGTTAATGCACAATCTTATATTTGTGTTATAAAATAAATTTTAAAAATAAATATTTTTTTTTTAAATATATATTATTTTAATAAAAAAAAACACTGTTCACCGTATAAATACGATGAACAGTGCATACGGTGTAGGATGTGGTGTAAACATTGCAATCCTGTATTTTTATATATACAATTACTATTAAATTATTATTGGGAACTTTTTCTTTTGTATGTAATTAGAATTAATGTTAGGCCCATGTGAAACCTTATTTTGTAGTTTATTTCTAGTTGAAGGATATTTTTTTTATTATGACAAGTAATCATGACAACTAGTTCTTAATGACAAGTCAAACACAAATAGTTAAACAGTTAAAGATGTAAATTAGGATATTAGGGTTTGATAAGACTTAATTACTTAATGACGGCAACCAATCAAAATATAACTTAAGCCTCGTCTCAAGTGAACTAATGCAATTGTCTATAAGAATTGAAGAATAAGAAAGATATACCTCGACTAGTCAAAGCGAATACTTTGTAAAACATAAGATCGTTCTCGTAAAAATGCATGGCTAAATCACATACACACGAAAAATATTTTTAAAACTAACTTTTCTCAAGAAACTTTTTTCAAAATTGTCTTGAAGTTGTGCCAGATGAGTTAGAAGTTGTCTGAAAAACTGTGGGAAAATTTTTGACTTTGCCAATCGATTGGCACATTGAACCAATCGATTGGTTCATATGTGTCCCAAGTGATTAGAACATCATTTTAATAATATGTAACAACTAAATATCTTATCTTTCCATTTTTAACATGGTAATTGATTAAATTGGAGGCAATCAATCGCTTGGTATATGTTCACAATCGATTGGCAAGTCATAAATTGGCCTTAAAATTATTTCCTTTTTTAGTCAACCTCTAGCCTATAAATTGAGCTCATTTCCCTCATGTTAAAACATCCTGAATCGTGTTTTCACTTGCCACTTGTCACTCTCTCTCTAAACTTTTTTTTGTTTACTTTCTCTCACTAAGAATTTAGCTAAAGTGCTTTTCGAGAAATTCTTTTTACAAGTGAGGATGTTGTAGTTATGGAAGGATATATTTATAAGTTCACCAAGGAACTTCTGTGTATACCTTGGTTGAACATTTTATCTACTTATGGATTGTTTATTTAGGTTTGAAGCTAAACCCGTAAAAAGCTTATGTTTGGGATTTATGTGATCAATTTTCTCTTGTTTAGATTCGAGATCAGCCAGTGCAAAATCTCATAGGTTCTTAGTTAACTCGTGGTAAAAACAAGTTTAGGTTAAAGCTTAGTCTGGTATTAAAAACTTGTTTAAGTTGGAGATCAGTCTGTGGTAAAATCTCATATTGTTCTCGTATCCCTGGAGAGCCTTAATTTGTAAGGCATTGCTTCACATGATCGAAAAGTCTCATACCTCTATTGACATACTACTCTATTATTCTCAAAGAGTCTTAATCCATAAGATATTGGTTTGGCATCCTCATAGAGCCTTAATCCATAAGGTACTGCTTCGCACGACCTAAAGAGTCTCATGTTCTACTGAGATACTGTTTTAACATCCTTGGAGAGTCTTATTTCATAAGGTACTACTTCGCACGATCTAGAAAGTATCATGCACTCGTTTGAGATATTGCTATAGTTTTCTTGAAGAATCTTAGATGCGATTGAGGTATCATTCCCCTTGTTGGAATATTTTGATCTATAAGATATTGCTTCATTAGTTTAGAGAATCTCATTTTCTCTTTTGCAGAGTAACTACTCTGAATATCCCTGAAGATCCTCAATCTATAAGGCATTACTTCATGCGATGTAGAGAATCTCATTTCTTTGTTAAGCTACTCTAAAATGTCCCCGGAAAGGCTTAAGTCATAAGGTACTGCTTCACGCGACTTGGAGATTCTGTTTCTAGTACTGAGATACTGCTTTGGCAATCCAAAGAATCTCATATTATTCTGTTCAGATTTTGCATCTCGCTACCTCATTCTCATATCCCTCGTTTTATCATTTGCATTGCATTTTACTTTCTTGTCAGACAAATTTCGGGGTTTTTTAATATCTAATTGACTTCTACCCTAAAAATGAATCCCATGCAGTGGTTCATTTTCTCGGTTTCAAGGAAATTAGATAGGGGCATCTGCCATACCCCAAATTTGTCCTACCTTTCTAAAATTTCATTTTCTTGACTTTATTTTCAGTTTGCATCGCCTGCATAGCATAACATACCTTTTGAAATTCGGGTATACAGATCTCAAATGTCCCAAGAGATGTCGAGACATTGATCTCTGTATAACTAAACAAAGATATAACATAACAGACCAGAACAATCTAACAACTCAGGGTCATAACAGAGTAATGGCAGATGTTTCAACATCTATTAAGACATGTATTTAATAGCAACAGAAAGAACTAAAATATTCATAACAGAATGATAAATAACACCAAGATATGATAACCCAGTTCGGTGTACAACAACACCTACATTTGGGGGCTACCAAGCCAGGAATGAATTCACTATCAGCAGTATTAATTTAGAGCTAAACAACCTTTGGTTTACAACTTTTCACTTAATCCATACCCAGTGCAAATTCTACCTAAAAATCACCATCTAGATAAGAGAAACCCATCTCAATTCCTAAATCACCTCAGTGATATCTAACAGTCACAAACTTCGATAATTGTATCAAACTGTTCAATTGAAAGATACCTCTTTCAATACGATATTCAGTCAAGACTCTTGACTAACATTAATACTTTGATTTGCTTAAAAGCTTCATCTAAGAACAATATACAATTCATTACCTACAGGTTTCTAAATATGAAAAACTATGTCTACCATAATGTATCAACTGATACAAAGGGTGATTTACATTACAAGAAAGCCTCACGACTCTTAAAATCCTAAACCCTTATTTTTGCTTTACAAAAGTCTTAACAAGGACTAGTTATTTTCCATAGGTCTTGGTCTTCCTTTTATAATATTCTATTGTCCATGGGCTTCGAAATCTCTGCCCAATCATTCCTTGATCCATGTTCTGATTGCGCCTTAAATCTTGGAACAGATCTGCAATAAATCTGTTGTATCAGACCAAGATGTCGAGTCCTTAAGATAAGACATCTTGTCTGACATGTTGTTCTTTAATGAATTCTTCTTGTTAGAACATCTTGTGCAACATCATGTTTTACCAAAATTTGGTCAAATATTTGAGCCTTCAATCTCCCCCTTTTGACAAATTTTGGCTAAAACTCCTTTTGCACAATAAACCCAAGAAATAAAAGAGAAGAAGAGTAGAAAGTCCTAAAGTCATTACAGCCGGCCTATGACGAGTCTAGAAGAAAATAATGAACCTCGTGGGAGCTTTCATTCTTCCTATACAACATACACCACATGTTGTACGACGTGTATCTTGAACCCTGGTGTACATGAGGCAGAAGATACCAAACACTCCCCCTTAAAACCAGTCCCAATTTACCACCCTTCATTATCCAGATCAGGGCTCAGTGCACTTGACCCCAACTCTGGATAACTCAGAACACAAGACACAATTGTGTTTATAACTCATATCACAAGACACAAAGAGAGGACTCAGAACAATATAAACTAAGTCACCGACAAGATGTTAGAGCATCTTATCCGACATCCTTGCAAAGCAACTACAATAACAGACTCAAACCCCAACAAGAGATCAGTTATGTGTTGTAAGTTGCAACACACAACTGGGATAGACACACAACCTATCTCCCCCTTTTTAACCAAAAATTGACAAAGGTTCCCAACATAGGTCCATACCCAAATGGTACTCACACAAACCTGGACAAAAGCCATAAAAACTTGACACATCAAAAGAAACACAACCTAAAACAAAAAAAGCAAATACCCCCCTTTAAATAACCGAGCAGTTTCCTTAGGAATTAATGTTCCATTGATATAACCGAATGACAATTTAATGAAAGAGTAAATTGAGCAAGACAACTTCAGCATAAATGGGTGTGCA